AAATACTTTGAAGAGATGTTGCTATTTGTAATGAGTGCCTAAGGTTTTCTAATATCAGTAATAGAAAAGCTGAATGAGGGGCACCTGGGTGGCTCAGTCGTTAAGTGTCTGTCTTCGGCTCAGGTCATGGTCCCAGGGTCCTGGGATCGAGCCCCACATCGGGCTCCCTGCTCCTCGGGAAGCCTGCTTCTCCCTCTCCCACTCCCCTTGCTGTGTTCCCTCTCTCGCTGTGTCTCTCTCTGTCAAATAAATAAAATCTTTAAAAACAAAAACAACAAAAAAGATAAGTTGAATGAGCCAAGTGTTTACTTAGAGTCCATTTCAGCTCTGGTGTAACAATGTCTTACCTTTATGAATATCATCAAGGGTGATCTGGTTGGCAAGGTTATTCTGTTTAGGGTAGGACAGGAAGAGGAAACTGTAATATTAGCAAAAACAAAAGGGTATAGCAATGACCTTGTTCAAATTGTCAGGTCATCCGTTGTGGGGTGTGTGAGGCTTTGTCTGTGGGAGCACGGGTTGGGCTGCAGTGGGCTCCCCGTGTTCTCCTGTCCCCTTGCTGGAGCGCTTGGTGTGTTGTCCTCCCCTGGGCAGGCGTGGATGTGATGCTCACCCTCTGTGGGGTGCATCCCCCTTTTGGCTTCTGTGATCCCCTCAGCAGCACAGCACGCCTTTGAAGTGCAGGAGCCCAGAGGAGCATCCAAGACTCTGGATTCTGGAGTAGACGGCCTGGGGCCAGGTCCTCGGTCTACCGCTCGCCAGCTTCACGACTGTGCACAACTTAATTGCTTTCTGCACCTTGCGCTTCCTTCATCTGTATAATGGGTGTAATAATAGTGCCTACCTCACAGGGGTAAATGATTGTAAAGAAAGAAGAACCGTCAAGATGTGGAGTTGAAATGACCTGATTCTGGTCATCTGGTGCCATTGTTTTCAGTACGGGAGGTGAGCCTCCGGGAGACCCACAGTAACGTTTCCTCTCTCCTTCCTGCCCACGTGGGAAGAATTTCTCATTTCTTGTATTGAATGCCAGGGGAAAAGTTTGATAGCATGTTTTTACTAGAAATACAAATAATTATCATGAAAATGACTGTTGCCACTTAAGAAATGGAATTAGCTAAACTAAAAGGGACCTTTTTTTTTTATATAAAGCCCCCCCCCCCCAATAAAGCCCAAGTAGTTTTTGTAGAGTTACTGCACCTAAGATTAGTTATGGTAAATGACAGTCTCATCCTATTTATGGGTGAAAATATTAAAAACATAATCAGCCGTCTGTTTAAAACACAACACCGCACGATTTCATTGAAATGATTCGGCTCTGCTGCTTTAATCTTGAATTTGGCTGGGTTGCATGTGAGTTGATTTTTTTCCCATTTGAGATGAGCGCAATAAGGTGGGACCCCAGATGTGAGTCCACCAGGAGGAAAAACCGTTTGTGAATTTCATGTCGGTCTAGAAGTCCAATTTGACTTACACCCGTGGGCAGTGTGTGGTGCTGGCTGGATCTGCATCATTATTCTGAAGTCTGTGCTGATGTCCTGTGACTAATATGTTCCAGCTGTCTGGGTCACTACTTTGGAGTACTATTTATTTGCGGTAGTGATGCTGCAAATAGGAAAAGCTTTCCCTTTTGTTGGTTGAGAGCTCTGCTGGTAATTAGCAAAACAAGCATGCCTCTTATTTGGGAGAGATTGGAAAGGCGGCTGAAGGGTACATTGTACACAACCACAGTGGAAAACAATTTGGCATTACTTAGAAGAGCTGAACACGCGCACTCCCGCGCTCAGTCCTCCTCTCTTAAGCGTATACCCTGGAGAAACGCGGTATGTGCCCCAGGGACAGGCACTGGGATGTAAATAGCGTTGTTCATAATAGCAAAAACTGACAAAACCCCAGGTGATCCTCGGTGGAATGGAGCGGTGAGCTGTGGGTCTATTCACACAGAGGGAACCAGTGGTGATCATCAACCACGGCCACGTGAGTCGCCAGGGGTGAATCTCAGAATCCGCATCGGAAGAGGCAAGTCTTAATACATACACTCCGGTTTTACTTTACATTGGTTTTAAAACCTGGCAAAATGCAACCACATACTGAGAATATGTATGTGATGAAAACATACGCCCGAGCGGAGGAATTAAATCAGAATTGGGGCTAGCGGTTAACTGTGCAGGGGAGTGGATGGAGGGAGTCAGGGAGGGGCACACACGTCTTCCATAAAACCCCACAACCCCCCAGACCCAGCCGCTGGGGTATCGGGTGCACGGGCTTTGTTTCCATTATTCTCTAGTCTGACATATGGTCACCGAATAACAGGGTACCCCAAATGGAGCAGCTTAAAACACTGACCAACACTGGTCATCTCACAAGGTCTGTGCGTGGGCAAGACGTCGGGACAGCTTGGCTGGGTGGTTCTGGTTCGGGGTCTCCCATCTGGTTGTGGTCCAGGCAGCCGCGGCAGCAGCCGTCCTCAGAAGGCTCGGTGGGCTCGAGGTGCAGCTTCCGGGCTCCCCAGGGCTATTGTGCTGAGGGCCCTCCCAGGACAGAGTGAGGAGGCTGCCCTGGGCCCCAGCCGTTCAGATTCGACTCCCATTTCCCCCGGCTGGATGGAGAGACGTGCGCGTTCAGTGGGCAGTAGGAAAAGGGGCAGGAAGCTCCCCGTATGCTCAGGGGTGGGGGGCACCAGAGCTTGAGTGTGGGACGCAGGATCATTGGCGCCTCCTCCGAGGCTGGTTCCTGTGCTTGTGCACTTTTTGATCTACTTCACGATAAAGTTTTTCTAGACAAGCCGAACTGGGAAGCTTATTTTGCGTTAGTAATGGTGCGGGCACTCATCGACATGACAAGGATGTGGGTGCCACACGTTTGCAGTGTGGGGCTGGAGCAGAGTCCGTGGTGGGGGCTGACTACTGGGGGGAGGGGGCCCTGGCTGCTGACAGCACCTGCGGGGGGGTGGGGGCGGGCAGGGCAGAGAGGGACCCGGGGAGTACGGACCCCAGGACGTGTGGTGTCGACGGGACCACATGTGCCTAGATGTCCGTCTACCTGTGTCCCTGGATCGGGTGGAAATCTGGGACTCGTGATTTTTGAGGAGAATTCTCTGGGCTAAGGGCCACTGGTACTGTCCTGGGCTCACCGTGATATTGAAGTCTCTACCAGCCTCAACTGTTCTCCCGAGACCCCCTTTAATGAGAAAGGAGAGCCCACCCCTCACTCCCTTCCCCTACAAGTGAGGGTGCAGCTGGAAATGAACTGGACAAGTAAGGATAGGAGTTTGAGCTTAATTCATGCTGTGATTACATTGTGCTCGCAATGTGTGTTTGTTTTATTAGCAAGTTTTCAATTGCTGTTTCATTTGCTTATCCTCACCAAAATCTCTGAGTAAAACTGATGTTTCCAAAGGAGCGTCATGTGTTTTCCCTTGGATTTGGGTAGCTTTTGGCCTAACTTCCTGGTGAGTGTTCCTGGGGTTCAGGTGCTCCGGCGTGTGAGGCATCGAGACCCATCTTATCTCCTTGTGGGTTGCAGCATCCTTGGGAACAGGTGCTCCCCAGTTCCCAGGTGAGGAAGCAACTTGAGGCAGTTCTCTCGGTTTTTCATCGAGCTGGCGAGTGGAGGAGACGGGACTGAAAGCCAGGCACAGGGGCCCTGACTCACTTTCTTCAAGCTTTCGTATGTGGCTCCTTCACACGTTGGACGTCGATACCTGTAAACCTCTTTGTGCAGGATTGTGGTGACCAGTGCATGAAGGACCCCTTTAGGCCATCTTATGGGGACACCACGTGTTCCTCAGTGGTTCTGATGCCGCCTCCGTCCTCAGTGGTAGAGCCGTGCATGTCATTATACGGGACTTAGCTGGTTACAAAATGAGAGGAAATATCCTCAACAGCAAGTGATAATTGCCTTTTGTTGTGGCCAAGGTAAAAGGCACCTCTGGTGATGCTTGTTTTGCTTCCCTTCCCTTGGCCAACAGTGTTCTCTTTTGAGAAAAAAGGGAGAAAAAAAATACACGTATAATGTCAAAATTACATTAGGGGTTATTGTGTTTAAAAGGGAAGTATAATTACTAGTAGTAGTTATAGAATTGGTAATCATAATTAGAGTATTAATGGTAGTATTAAGAATGATTATTATTATTTTTTAAAGAATTTATTTTAGGGAGAGAGAGCACAGACAGGGGGAGCGGGGAGGGGCAGAGACAGAGGGGAGAAGCAGACTCCCTGCTGAGCAGGGAGCCCCCGATGTGGGGCTCGATCCCAGGACCCTGAGATCATGACCTGAGCCGAAGGCAGATGCTTCACCGACTAAACCATCCAGGTGCCCCAAGAATGATTATTCTTCAGGTAACAAACTGCCGTGCACCCCCCCCCCCCAGATGGCATGTGAATATGTTTGGCCTCTTGGCCTTGAGGTTGCTTTTGAGGAGAGCATTGTATGGGGTGGGGGGGCCACCTGTATGGTGAGACATGCCTTGAGCTTGGGGTCAGAAGATCTAAGTAGAGGTTTCATCCCCGGTGTTTTCTAGTTGAATGTCCTTGTCGTACGGTCATGATGTCGGTTGGCACGTGGTGGGTCTGCCTGGGAGACCCAGGAGGCCCAGCAGTCTGGTGTGGCTCGGAGGGTCCACGGGGGCCTCACGTGGGGTCTCAGAAATCCAGTCACACTAGGGCCCTGGAAGCTCCCCTGCTCTTCTGAGTGGAGGTTTTTGGGTGACGTCACGTGTCACTGCCTTGAGATTGATGTGAGTTAAGAGATACTTAATCAGGAATTTCTTTGTTCCAGAACTTTCTAGAGTGGCTGAGGCTAACGATTGTTCCGCACATTCAGGATGGGATGGATCAGTTTTTTCTCTTTTCACTTTTCTCCTTGCTTAAAAGCAATTTAGATAGAGCACCTTTTTAATCTAGAGGTTTGTCATAAATGAAGAATATTTTCTCAACTGAAATAGCTTTAATTTAATAAAAATCCTTGGTGGTAACATGTTGTTTCGCTTCTGCTTGCAGGCTGAGGGAGCATGAACGGCCTTGAACGTGCCCCTGGGCTTATTTAGCCATTCGCTTTTCATTAGGAGAAAGAGACGGCCATCCGCTTGAGAGGTGTGTAAAGATTTCTGTGCAACTTTTTATCCTAAAAATTTCAGACATATGGAAGAGTTAGAAGAATGTGCAGTGAGTTCCTGTGTATCCACCGCCTACATTTAACACTTGTTAGCATTTTGCCATATTGTGTGTGTCTGTTTGTGTGTGTGTTTGTGTGTGTGTGTGTGTGTTTGAGGACTTGTACATTTTTCTGCTGAAGCTTGTAAAAGTAAGTTGTAGGCATCATGACATTTTATCCTAAATTCTTCGAGATGTAGCTCCTAAAAATAAGGATATTGTCCCTTGAGAGGCATTTTAGAACATTCATAAACTATGTGACGTAGAGTCATTTAATTAAACACAGTTATAATTTCCTATTGAAAGGTGTAATTTTGGATTTATGATCCTTTCGTAGCCAATGTAAATGAAGTCAGGTTTTCAAAAATCTTTAAGCAGTGACTTATTTAACGGACAGATAGGCAGTGCGAACCTGTTTGGTGTGAGAACTGTCTGCACGTAAAGGATTGGGATTTGCACTTGCCCATGTGTCCTGCATAAGAGGATGGCCGTGTTTCCCTTGTTCCGTGTGCTCTGCCCGTCTGCACCTCTGGGGCTGGTGTTCCTGCGGCTTTCACAAGTAGACTAGTCGCTGTGCTTGAACGGGATCGAAGATCTTCACGGAGTTTTGAACCTCCCAGGAGAATGTGCCAGGGATATGCAGTTATGTCAAGTTGAGGTTACTGTGTTGAAACCAGTGTCCAAGACATTCACAGTGATTCCCAGCGCCATGATTTGACTACCCGAATTGAAACTTCCTATCAAATCCTGCAGGTGTGTTCCACTGTGATTGGAGGTGTAGATGGTGACGCGTCACAACCAGTCACACGGTCACTTGCTACCACTCGGTGGTTCTCTGTGGCTGTGCGCTGTCCCACGGGCTGCCCTCTGCTGCACGTTGATGGGCTCTCTCTCAACGGGCCCTGGGAGTCCAAGCATTTCTTTGTAGATGTTTATGAGCTCCAGTTGCCCGTTTAGAGCATGATTTTAGAAGAAGTCTATTTATAAGTGAGCCTTATAGGGCAGTGGAGGCTTCTTAAGATTCTTGTGTCTTATTTAGAACACAAAGTGAGAGCAGTGAAGTTTCTTGGAAAGACCCCAGCATTCCGAAGGAGCCATGACTGGAGTTGTAGGGCTCTCAGAACGATCTAGTTTGGTTTTTTGCTTTTTGGCCTCTGGTTAGGCTTTGAAAAGATGATGATGAGGAGGAATGAGGCTCCATTTGAGGCAAAAAGGCTTTGACAGATTGAGAAGAGAAAGGTGTCTGGGGCCCCGGGTGGGGCTTCAGTTCGCTCTCTGCCCCTGGGGTAATGGTTTTTTTCTCTGTCTGTTGAACTAGGGTATGCATACAGAAAGTGCAGTCTTGTTACATATACAGCTCAGTATAATTTCACAAACTGAGCACTCCCCTGTGACCAGCACCCGGATCAAGAAGCAGAACATTTCCACCACAGCCTCATGCCCCTATCTGGACCGTACACACCACCTCGCTCCATGGGTAGCCATGCTCTTGACTTCTAAGAGCATAATTTCATTTTGTCTGTTGTTCTTTGTGTGTGTGAATGTGTGTGTCGTATATAATGCAGATTGTACTGTTTTGTGTCTGGCTTTTGTCATTCAACAGTATATTAGGTTATCCCATATTGTTGCAGATAGTTACAGATTGTTCATTTTCATTGCTATGGAGCGTCGCATTGTGTGAGAATAAACCAGTTTTTTCATTCTATTAGATGCAGGTAGTTTCTGCGGGGGGGGGGTGGGGGGGTGGTTCCCCTGGCAGAAATGAGGATTACACGGGGTTTTATCCCCGTGGCTACAGTGGAGGCCGTCCTGGGTGTCCAGTTTCTGCTGTCCCATGAAAGAGGAATCCAGGGGCAGACAGAAGGTGGAGACACGCTGGGAGAGTGTGTGTGGTTTCTCAGTCCTGCAGCGATTCCCACTGCTCTTCCTGGGGCTCAGCACATCCCTTCCCACCTCGGTCCCCTGCTGACACACGTTTTCTGCCCCCTCTCCTCTACCACTTACCCCTCAGAGGGGACTGTGCAGAATAGATCAGACAACCGGCCACTGGTGAATAAAGTTCATTAGGTGCTGATACTAGATGTTCGACGGGGAAAGTCATGGGCTTGCTCTGGAACACCTGTGCTGTGGGTATGGACCCACAGGGGGGGCGTGGGCCACAGCCCTGGAAGCCAGCTGTGCCGCGGAGTTGAGCGTGTAGATGCGGAGGCTTGTGTGGGCCAGGCCTGTAACAGGACAGGAACCGGTGGGGGGGGGGGGGGTTGCTCAGTAAGGGGGGATGGGCACTGCGGAGTACGAGTACATATGCACTGCCCAATTTTTGACCCAATAAAATGTGTCTGGCCGAATTCGGCAAGCCCACCGATTTCGAACCTTTAGGGAATAGAATGTTCGTTGTGTAGAAGTGGTTCCCGTGGGATTTGGATATGTTTATGGCTAAATTTGGTTTCTGTAAGTAAAGTTTTATTCAAACACGGTCATGTTCATTTGTTCATGGTTCGTCTGTGACTGCTTTCGTGCTGCGACAGCAGAATCGAACAGTTGTGAAGGAGACCAGGGTCCATAGCTCCGGCGGGGATCGATGGCCCGCAAGACCTGGCATGTTTGCCGTCGGCGCTTTACTTCATAAAAGCGAGGGCACAGTGGTTATAACCTCTGTAGTTTTGAAATAGTCTGAGCCCATTAATTTTACTGTGAATGCCTTTATTTTTTCATTTATTTATCCAACAAATATTTACTGAGAAGCTACCCTGTGTCAGGGGTAATGAGCTGGCAATAGTCGCGTAGGCTCCTGCCCTTGTGGAACTTACGAGGGGCTTCTGTGACCTGGAAGCTCCGCCCCAGGACTGTGCTTTCTATGCATCAGAGCAGAAGCATGAAATGGAAACGGAATGACTGCATCTTCAGTTTTAAGTGAGTGTATGTTGGTTATGTTTCTTAATTTTATAATTTTTTTTTTTAAAGATTTTATTTATTTATTTGAGAGAGAGAATGAGAGAGAGAGAGCATGCGGGGGGTGAGGGTCAGAGGGAGAAGCAGACTCCCTGCCGAGCAGGGAGCCCGATGCGGGACTCGATCCCGGGACTCCAGGATCATGACCTGAGCCGAAGGCAGTCGCTTGACCAACTGAGCCACCCAGGCACCCAATTTTATAAATTTGATAAGCACTTGCCATAACATAATGGTTACTTCAGTTGTACGGCAAATGTGGTATGATCTATTTAGATATGGCCGTGTCTCTAAGTGTGTCTGAAAGTCCTGTTTGTTTCCATGTGGTGACAGCAGACCATGTAAGGCTGTGTAAGGTCGTGTATCTGGATTGGGCCAGGAGCTTTGACATGCTCATCAAAGCGAGCCAAGCAGAGCACCCATCTCAGGCTACTTGAATAATAAATCCTAAAACTCAACAGAAAGAACAGCATACAAGGTAATAAAGTTTGGAATGTGGTATAACGAATTCATCCATCCCCGCTGGCATGCTTATCTGTTTGCTCATGTGAGGTTGTAAAAGTTTGTTTTTTCCTAATGGGAGGCCATAGACTAGGGCATTGTCATGAACAGAGACAGGTGAAACTTATAGTATTGTTTTAACCCCGTTAGCATTTTCATGTATGCTCGTAGATGTTTTATGGGTGTGAGTCACTGCGCCGTCATCACCCCAGACTGTCCTCCGACAGAAGGGAAACGCCCTTGACTCATCTCAGGGCAAACCCTCATAAGCCGTTGCGGCTGCATTGCCTCGTTCCAGCCGAGACATCCTTTAGGAAAGTGAAGTGAGGTCGAACATTAATCTGGATGTTGTAGTTACAGTTGGTTAGCTGCGTGTAATAATGTAAGGATGGGAAAACGCATGAAGTCCTGGCAGTGTGTACTTCTTGCCTTAGGGGCCATCTGACATCAGGCAGGTTGCTCCTTGTCACCTTCTGGGTCCGTGATCTGGTGACGGCACTTTCCCCTGAAACGAGAGCCTCAGGGCAGCGGCCGTCTGCAGGAACTACAGAGACGAACATCAGCTGGTGGGAAATAGTTTCACGAATGGGGGCCAGACTCCGCACTGGTTTGTCTTGTTGCCATAATTCATAAAGTGGAGGTGTAGCTCCTCTTTATGAGGAAGAAATGGTACGTATTCATTCTCACTTTCCACTTTTGTGTTTAAAATGTTTTTACAGATTCAATCCTGGTCTTCATTTTAGTAATTTTTTTATAGTGGTGCAGAATGAGGGATAAATGAAAAAGGAGAGTTGAGAAGACCGACCATTGTTTTCCTTACGAAACTGGAAACCGTAGGCTTCACTGCTTTGGGTAAGAAGAAGGTGTTCTGAAACAAATTTGAGGAGAGGCCAAAGCACCTGATCTGTGGCATTAGAAAAACTGGATCTTCTCTCCTTCTAAGAGGGAGCCCTTTTGCCCAGAACTCCAGCCTCAGGGGCGTTTAATTTGTCAAGGCCAGCTCATTAAGGTTGACTTCCTCAGGCTCTGGTTTTGCATCTGGAGAGGGGTCAGTACTAATGTGCACACGAGGACCACGTGGTAGAGCGAGTTGTGGTTTAGAGAGTATCAGCATGATTCTCTTGGTTGCAAGTGATGGAAAACCAATCAAAGGTTTTGTCAGTGAAAGAAGCATTGTTGACTCAGGTACCTAGCTGATAGCCGGCGGCAGATCTCACTTCAGGAAGGGCTTGTCACAGGAGCTACGTGATGTCATAGGGTTCTCGGTGGGTGCCTTCTCAGGCTGCAGACGGTGGCCCCCCGGCAGCTTCAGGTCCACACTGTTCAGGGATCCTCCGGGACTGGGCCAAGGGCCTGTCCTGACGGGGTTTGCACTTTGTGCTGAGAGCCCGAGGTCAGCCTGTTGGTTCAGCTGAGGATGAAGCCCTGAGTCAGGGCAGTGCGGGATGCTTCCCTCCAGAAATCGGCCTGGTTTCCCGCAGGGTCGGTGG